GGTCGGTTCTATGGCATTTATCTCGGCAATGATGTTGTTTTTGAGTTCTTGGAGGGTGGCTGGTTTGTTGACGTAGACTTTGTTTTTCAAATATCCCCATAAAAAGAAGTCCAAAGGAGTCAAATCGCACGATCTTGGTGGTCATGGCACATTTCCTCTGCGCGAAATCACGCGATCACCGAAGAAGGACTGCAATCGATGGATATTGACGTTGGTTGTGTGGCATGTTGCACCGTCTTGTTAGAAATAAACATCGTCCATATCCATTCCTTCAAGTTGCGGCAAAAAATAGTCCTCTATCATCACGTGATATCGCTCAAAATTGACGGTAACGGCGTCCCCGGCCGCATTTTCGGAAAAGTAAGGTCCGATGATGATTTTTGACCACAATGCACACCACACAGTCACTTTTTGAGGATGCATCGGCTGCTCTTGATACTCACGGGGATTTTCGTTCGCCCAGATGCGGCAGTTTTGCTTGTTTACCGTCCCATTCAAAGTGAAATGCGCTTCATCGCTGAACATGATTTTTGATGAAAAATTGGCAACAATTTGGCGGTGTTCAAGGAGCCAATCTGAGAAGGTTCGGCGCGAAAAATGGTCGGGCCGACGCAGCTGTTGCGTCAATTGGATCTTGTAGGCGTGTACATTCAAATCCTTGTGGAGAATGCGTAGCAAACGCGTTGTTGATTGTTCCGGATCGTCTCTCGCACTCTCCTTCACAACAGCAATATTTTCCGGTGTGCGAACGCTCCTTGGCCGGCCAGAGCCTGGCAGATTTGTCACAGAACCTGTTGCCTCGAATTTTCACACCAGACGACCGATGTTTGGTTTCGTTTGGGCGGTTGTTGCGACCGAAATGTTCACGAAGCGCGCGAAACGTGTTTTTTATTTTTGCACCATTTTTGTAGTGCTCTTGAATAACTTTAGTGCGGTCTTCAATCGAATACGACTCCATAGCGATCAATGGTAAACATTCAACTAACAAAATGACATGTCGGTGACAGAAAACAAAGATGGCGTCTATGTCAAATTGACGTTTACTTTCCTGCGTCCCTATTGGACAACCCATCATGTAAAACATAGTCCTGTTTCTTCCGCAATCAAAACTGCTTGAATTAAATTTGTATTGAAGTAGGATATAAGGTGAATATCTGAAACATAACATAAAACTGAGCCCCATTATTTCTGTTCTCCCTTATGCCTTATACATCATCGGATTTCCACTCGAGCCTCTACGCCGAGGCGGGCCGTCGTCGATTCTCTCCAAAATAATTGCTCCCATAACTTTCGTTAACAAATGAGTTACTACGGTTGGAAAAATCTGCTTTGAACTTTTTTCGCAATACCTTTGATAAATTGCCTCTCGGGGTTTCGTTCTAAGAGGATAGTTTTTTGCTATACTCCATTTAGACTGTCTGATTATACTGATGGAACAAAGTGAGTAAAGTATATGACGAATTATACAGGCAGACCACACCATAAGGATGAAAAAAACCGAAGAAAAAAATGAGGCAGTCTTACATCAAGAATGAAACGATAACATTCTCATGAAATTTTATTGACAATTAATAAAAAAATACACTCCTGTATACGTCTAGACCAGAATTCCCCAAACTTTTTTGTGTCGTAGACCCCTTGCCATGTTTTTCCGTATTGGGTAGACCCCCTACCTACCTGTTATTGATTTCCTGTAAATTTCTAACTGTAGTCAAGTTTAGTGTTAAAAACTTAAAGTAAAAACACATGTTAATTTATACATTTATTAATTGAATTTAAATTAAAACTACTCAAAATAAAATTTTGTATTTGTTATGTAAAATATACGTAACATTAAATAAACAGGTGTCTGAACAATAAGTGCCCGCATTGGGAACAAGTGCCCGCATTGAAAAAAAAATAAAAGGGATAAAATAAGAAAAAGTGAAAAATAATAAAAAACAAAGTTTTTTACTTAAAATAGTACAATAAGCGAGTTCGCTTAATAATTATAACATAAACGTATGTTCTACAATAATTTCACTGTTAGTTTGATTAAATTCCGCTTCTTATACGTTTAAGTTATCTAAAAATAGGCAAAAAACTAACGAATCTTAGTGTGTACCTATCCTTGAATTTTCAGAATAATTTTAAAAAAATATTATCTATAAAGGGGGTTCTTTAAAAAAATCAATGCGGGCACTTATTCCCAATGCGGGCATTTATTGGTCAGACACCAATAATCATAAAATAAACTATAATTAAAATAATACAAGCAATAAGTCAATATTTTTAGTGAGAAGGATGAACCTGATGCTTTAATAATAAATTATCAACATTTGGCGTCAATTTTGTAAGGGTTAATCTTAAATCTCCTCGGCTAATGATGTCCAGTCTGTTTCTTTTTTTCGTTAGGAGATTGGTAACAGCGCTGAACCCCCTTTCCACTAGGTATGACGATGGAAAGGAAATTAAAAATTTTCTCGCTGTATTCCATAATACGGGATAGGTAACGGGTATGTTGTTTTGCAGCCAGAATTGCTGATATCCGTTTTTAAACTGAACCTTAAGTTCTTCGTTTGTACTTAGTTCAGTCAGTTCCTCTTGTATTATGACATTCGATTCTTCTATGTCACCATATGGATTAATTATCCACAGTGGTATTAAGATAGTCAAAATACCCTCAAACCTAGATTCAAAATCTGAATAGAGGGCATTTAAATGTTGAACGTAAGTTGAAACGTGGTCTTCCTGGCAGCTTGTCTCTGACAAATTGGGGAACTGAGAAAATTCGCCCCGTCCAATATTTTGCTTCATTAGTTTAACTCTGGCAAGAAACGCTGATAAGATGGACTTTGTTTTGATCAAATTTAAACCGTCGCCTTGTAATTGCAAATTAACCATATTAAATTTTGTAAACAAATCTGTTAAATAGGCGATGTCTGTTTTCCTCTTCATTAAATTTTCTTTTAAAATTTTATCTTTAGTATCCAGAAATTCTAAAATAGTCTCAAAAAGAGCAAAAAATTTTGTCAAACACAAGCCTTTCGACAGCCAGCGTACTTCAGTGTGAAGGAGTAATTGATGAAAGTGTTCGTCATTTTCTTCACACAACTGCACAAATAACCGCGTATTCAACGCGTTGCTTCGGATTCGGTTTACTGCATCAATGACTAAATGAAGTGATTCATGCAATCTAACACTCAAATTTTTAGCAACTAAATGTTGTCGATGGATGACGCAATGTATTGCTAACTCCCCTGACACATTTCGTTTTAAATAGCTTATAAATCCACGATAACGTCCAACCATGGCAGGTGCTCGATCTGTAGCTACTGATATTATATTTGATAAAGGAATTGCTTTTTCAATGAAGTAATCCTTCAAAACATGAAATATTGATTCACCTTTAGTGTCGGTTATCAAAGTTCTTGCGAAGAGCAGTTCTTCGTAGATTTCTTGATTCATAATAAAACGAACATTATGCCAATAATAATGCTGCATTATCAGGTAAAGTTGACTCGTCCAGTTGTATAGAGAAATGGGTCGTTTGCAAATAATTACATAAGAAGCTTTCAATATCAGTACTCGTTTCATCATTCGACATCCCTAGACTAATAAGACGATCTCGCTCTGGTAGCTCTAACATCGTCTTACTAATCACCTTCGGAAAATTCAGGAATTCCCGAAGCTCCCTAGCACCGCTCAAGCGATGGATTGAATCAAACCGCGGCATGTGGCGCATACCTCAGTTTACCTTGATGGGCGCACGTTGCGCCTTCACGCAGCTTGGATAACAGATGCATGTAAATCTGATCGTATATTACATCCAGACGGTGTATGTTATGTAGGAATCGGTTGGAAACGTTGGAAAGCTTATTTAAGTAATGACACAGCAATTTATTCAGTGTCCCGTATCGGTGTATGAAACGTTTTTGGGTCAAGGAAATGGATGTGTCCGGAACCTAACACCCCCGAGTTTAAACGGGCATTTCGAGCATTTTCTTGCAACAACCACTCACAAAAGTCTGTAGGTAGCATCGCCTGGACTCTCAGGACGTGATAAGGGTACAGTTGGGCCTCATGTAATATGCGCCACGCTGTTGCATGTGACACTTCAGGGTCCTGCCTTGTGCTTATTCCCGGATTTTCTTCGACAATATCCAAAATTTCGTCTTCGGCTTTTAAAACGCGTTGTGGGCGAACCCGACCCCCATCCACTCGACGTCTGGGGCGCAAATCGCCACTAGCACTTACACGTAAAACAATTGAACTAAGTGTTCCGTGATGAGGTATGTGCGTGTGTTCAGAAATCGGTGTGCAAACGAGAAGCCGCTCGCGAATTTGGCCCTGCTTCTCCGTACGCTAAAACAATGTCCACAAACTCCTCATTGGTGTACACATGTGTCATTTTTCTTAGTAAATAACTAAAAACATAAACTCGCAAAATACTTTCCTATCTAACTTCACAAAAATCGACCGTTCTTCATTCAGATCACCCACGATACAGATTAAACCTTATTTACACGTTCTTATCAGTATGTAAAGACAAAAAATTCCTGGTATTTTGCTTTCGTCAGTTGATACAACATTTGTTACAATGCCTTAATGCGTGTTCTAATATCACGACGATGAACGCAAAATACAGATATTTATTTTTCAATTTATTATTGAAGCTCAGGTTTATAACTTACTTTCTGTAGGACTTTTATTACATATTTTTTTGAGAAATCAACTTCTTTCGTAAGAGTGCATGTGGTTGAAATTTGTCGGATAAGTTGTGAAACTGTATACTTTTAATAAATGTTTTAAGTTTACCGAATATCAAGAATGTATAACTTGAAATGATATCAACGGTCAGGAATCCAAAACTGCACGGGTTTTCCCAATCAGTACATTTTGCATGATTCCACTCATGTCTTTATCATAATCGAACATCTGCTCCGATGAATTTCTATGTCATTCTGTGTCCTTGTTTCAGTTCATGCAAGGATACTGATTGAAAATTATTTTTGTTGCAGAAAATCGTCATCAGACGCAGCGAAGAAACGTACACTTCGGACAACTCCCGACTGGGAGGAAACGGCAGTCAACGGAGACCACCTTTGGGTGCCAACTTCCGTTTCCGGCGATTTTTGCTATGCGGGAGACTCCGATTGTCTGGTAAGTCGATACAATAACCCAAAACAGATCTTCATTGATACTGGCTGGACCTTAGATGGACTGGAATGAAGATGCTATTGACTTATTATTAGACTCTCTAGGACTAGATGTGGTAATAATTACTGTGGCCCAAAATTGTTTTACTGCCCTTCCTCAATTTTGTAAGAATTACAACAACAGGATTTTCAAAAAGACTGTAAAAATGTACCCATTAAGTAATGCTTTTTATAATTTAGATGAGTTTTTAGAAAATTCATTTTGTTATTTCAGTGTGTTGTGTTTTCATTGATTTTTGTCTGTCCATTGCTTATTCTTAGATCTGTAATTTTATCATTATTATAATTTAGGGAAAAATCACCCAACATGGCAACCCTGTCAAAGTAGCACTGTTACTCCACGCGTCAAGTTTTTAGGTCGTTTTTACAGTGCTGCCGTAGTTTATGCTGCTTTATAGACTCCATGCTACTTGTCTTCATCTTTTGCAACAACTTTCCAGTAGAAATTCTCGTTTTGTCTCCGATCTAATGTAATACCTTGTAAGCCTCTGATGCAACAATGTACAGAATGTACAAAATTGTTTAAATGCCCTTCCTCAATTTTGTAGTAACTTCAACGATGGGACTTTCAAAAAGACTGTAAAAATGTACCCACTAAGTAAGGCCTTTTATAGTTTAGATGAGTTTTCAGAAAATTCATTTTGTTATTTCAGTGTGTTGTGTATTTATTGATTTTTGTCTGTCCATTGCTGATTCTTAGATCTGTAATTTTATCTTTATTATAATTTAGGGAAAAATCACCGAACATGGCAACCCTGTCAAAGCAGCACTGTTACTCCACGCGTCAAGTTTTGAGGTCGTTCTTACAGCGCTGCCGTAGTTTCTGCTGCTTCATAGACTCCATGCTACTTGCATTCATCTTTTGCTACAACTTTCCAGCAGAAATTCTCGTTTTGTCTCCGATCTGATGTAATACCTTGTAAGCCTCTGATGCAACAATGTACAGAATGTACAAAAATGTTTTAATGCCCTTCCTCAATTTTGTAGTAACTTAAACGACGAGACTTTCAAAAAGACTGTAAAAATGTACCCACTAAGTAATGCCTTTTATAGTTTAGATAAGTTTTTAGAAAATTCATTTTGTTATTTCAGAGTGTTGTGTATTTATTGATTTTTTCTGGCCATTGCTTATTCTTAGATCTGTAATTTTATCATTATTATAATTTAGGGAAAAATCACCCAACATGGCAACCCTGTCAAAGCAGCACTGTTACTCCACGCGTCAAGTTTTGAGGTCGTTCTTACAGCGCTGCCGTAGTTTCTGCTGCTTCATAGACTCCATGCTACTTGCATTCATCTTTTGCTACAACTTTCCAGCAGAAATTCTCGTTTTGTCTCCGATCTAATGTAATACCTTGTAAGCCTCTGATGCAACAATGTACAGAATGTACAAAAATGTTTTAATGCCCTTCCTCAATTTTGTAGTAACTTCAACGATGGGACTTTCAAAGAGACTGTAAAAATGTACCCACTAAGTAAGGCCTTTTATAGTTTAGATGAGTTTTCAGAAAATTCATTTTGTTATTTCAGTGTGTTGTGTATTTATTGATTTTTGTCTGTCCATTGCCGATTCTTAGATCTGTAATTTTATCTTTATTATAATTTAGGGAAAAATCACCGAACATGGCAACCCTGTCAAAGCACCACTGTTACTCCACGCGTCAAGTTTTGAGGTCGTTCTTACAGCACTGCCGTAGTTTCTGCTCCTTCATAGACTCCATGCTACTTGCCTTCATCTTTTGCTACAACTTTCCAGTAGAAATTCTCGTTTTGTCTCCGATCTGATGTAATACCTTGTAAGCCTCTGATGCAACAATGTACAGAATCTACAAAATTGTTTAAATGCCCTTCCTCAATTTTGTAGTAACTTCAACGACGGGACTTTCAAAAAGACTGTAAAAATGTACCCACTAAGTAAGGCCTTTTATAGTTTAGATGAGTTTTTAGAAAATTCATTTTGTTATTTCAGTGTGTTGTGTATTTATTGATTTTTGTCTGTCCATTGCTGATTCTTAGATCTGTAATTTTATCTTTATTATAATTTAGGGAAAAATCACCGAACATGGCAACCCTGTCAAAGCACCACTGTTACTCCACGCGTCAAGTTTTTAGGTCGTTCTTACAGCACTGCCGTAGTTTCTGCTGCTTCATACACTCCATGCTACTTGCCTTCATCTTTTGCTACAACTTTCCAGCAGAAATTCTCGTTTTGTCTCCGATCTGATGTAATACCTTGTAAGCCTCTGATGCAACAATGTACAGAATGTACAAAATTGTTTAAATGCCCTTCCTCAATTTTGTAGTAACTTCAACGACGGGACTTTCAAAAAGACTGTAAAAATGTACCCACTAAGTAAGGCCTTTTATAGTTTAGATGAGTTTTTAGAAAATTCATTTTGTTATTTCAGTGTGTTGTGTATTTATTGATTTTTGTCTGTCCATTGCTGATTCTTAGATCTGTAATTTTATCATTATTATAATTTAGGGAAAAATCACCCAACATGGCAACCCTGTCAAAGCAGCACTGTTACTCCACGCGTCAAGTTTTGAGGTCGTTCTTACAGCACTGCCGTAGTTTCTGCTCCTTCATAGACTCCATGCTACTTGCCTTCATCTTTTGCTACAACTTTCCAGCAGAAATTCTCGTTTTGTCTCCGATCTGATGTAATACCTTGTAAGCCTCTGATGCAACAATGTACAGAATGTACAAAATTGTTTAAATGCCCTTCCTCAATTTTGTAGTAACTTCAACGACGGGACTTTCAAAAAGACTGTAAAAATGTACCCACTAAGTAAGGCCTTTTATAGTTTAGATGAGTTTTTAGAAAATTCATTTTGTTATTTCAGTGTGTTGTGTATTTATTGATTTTTGTCTGTCCATTGCTGATTCTTAGATCTGTAATTTTATCTTTATTATAATTTAGGGAAAAATCACCGAACATGGCAACCCTGTCAAAGCACCACTGTTACTCCACGCGTCAAGTTTTGAGGTCGTTTTTACAGTGCTGCCGTAGTTTATGCTGCTTCATAGACTCATGCTACTTGTCTTCATCTTTTGCAACAACTTTCCAGTAGAAATTCTCGTTTTGTCTCCGATCTGATGCAATACCTTGTAAGCCTCGGATGCAACAATGTACAGAATGTACAAAAATGTTTTAATGCCCTTCCTCAATTTTGTAGTAACTTAAACGACGAGACTTTCAAAAAGACTGTAAAAATGTACCCACTAAGTAATGCCTTTTATAGTTTAGATAAGTTTTTAGAAAATTCATTTTGTTATTTCAGAGTGTTGTGTATTTATTGATTTTTGTCTGTCCATTGCTTATTCTTAGATCTGTAATTTTATCTTTATTATAATTTAGGGAAAAATCACCGAACATGGCAACCCTGTCAAAGCACCACTGTTACTCCTCGCGTCAAGTTTTTAGGTCGTTCTTACAGCGCTGCCGTAGTTTCTGCTGCTTCATAGACTCCATGCTACTTGCCTTCATCTTTTGCTACAACTTTCCAGCAGAAATTCTCGTTTTGTCTCCGATCTGATGTAATACCTTGTAAGCCTCTGATACAACAATGTACAGAATGTACAAAATTGTTTAAATGCCCTTCCTCAATTTTTTAGTAACTTCAACGACGGGACTTTCAAAAAGACTAAAAATGTACCCACTTAGTAATGCTTTTTATAGTTTAGTTGAGTTTTTAGAAAGTTCATTTTGTTATTTCAGTGTGTTGTGTTTTCATTGATTTTTGTCTATCCATTGCTTATTCTTAGATCTGTAATGTTATCTTTATTATAATTTAGGGAAAAATCACCCGACATGGCAACCCTGTCAAAGCACCACTGTTACTCCACGCGTCAAATTTTGAGGTCGTTCTTACAGCGCTGCCGTAGTTTCTGCTGCTTCATAGACTCCATGCTACTTGTCTCCATCTTTTGCTACAATTTTCCAGCGGATATTCTCGTTTTGTCTCCGATCTAATGCAATACCTTGTAAGCCTCTGATACAGCAATGTACAGAATGAGTAAGAAGCGCCCACGCGCTAGCCTAGAGAAGGATCTCCTCCTGCTTGTGTAATTTCAAGCTAGAGAAATGTTATTTTTCCGATTCATGGATCACGTATTTCATGCTATCTCTCTGATGCTGATAGTCTCCTTTTTCTTTTCTCCGGTTTTTCCTTGATGTGCCTTCCGTGAGCGATGCTTTCATATTAGTACAGGGAAAATCGAAAAGTGATAAGTTAGAGGGTCTGCCTTTGAATGTCATAAAAATATTGATGTATTGACCAGACAGGTTTCAAGGTCGAGATTATGGAGTTATTTGTCTGCGGACTCTTGTTCTGACTCTGCAACTCTTACGCAGCTCAAAAATCGGATTGAAAAGATGTCTTTAAGTAGTAGTAGTTTAGATTATCCAAAAAGATGGCAAAAACACAACTTCTGTAGCATCCTCTCGAAATTTGGTACAGAAGGGTTTTTGATGTCGCTGATTTTAAATCCGCTGTCAAAAAACAGAAATTCAGTATAGCGTATCCAATATGGCATCGGCCGTCCATCGAGCGCCAAGAACCCAAAGAGACACACGTTTCATGACATTGCCTCCAATGCCTTTTTGATAGAATTGAGCGTTTTGGTTGACAAATCAGTAAATTTTTGGGCTGTGAGGTTTTTTATATCATTCTATCTTGATAGTTCTGATGTTCTGGGGCAGGTTGGTCATCCTGTGCCTCCATATTCATCTCGGCGTAATGCGGCATTTAAGCTACCTAGAGCTCAGACTATGTTATTTAAGTCTCCAGTCTATGTCATGTATAATAAATTAAACTGTACCTCCAGCCATTGTGGTATATTTTTCTGTTCACTGAATGTGTTTATCAGAATAGCAAAGCGGTTATGGAATTAGTTTTAAATTCTTGATTTTGGGCTTATCGGCATCTATGTTTAGGATATTATTTTTATAATATATTTCAGTTTTTACAGTTTTATTGCCTTATTAACGCGTAATAGAACCGTTGGATAATAAAGCCATTATTATTATTGTTATTACTATTGAAACAGATCCTCGTAGAACTTCCATTAAAATTAACTTATCTTCTCTTTACTACCCAAGGGTCCTGTACTACTAAACGATAGGAAGCCATATCGCTAACGATCGACATTAAGGTAGATGTCCGTCCACAATTTACCGCAAAATACCCAAACAGACGAGAGTTTGATTGCCAACCGAGAATTCATACCAACGCCAACGTGGTAACGTCGTTTACCCGCTTTCTTTCCTGGAACCGACCACCACGTTGGCGGTCGATTAGAAATAGACGCGACTTTTGAACTTTCATCCCTCCAGCTCGAGAGGCGTAACGTCATTACCTGATACTCCCTCGGTCCCGATTCGCTGACGATTAGGCGCACCTGAGAATTCGTAGGAAAAGATACTATCAGATACAGGGTGTACCTTTTTCGGACCATATGGAAAAACAAAGTTTATGGCGGTTTCTCAAAAACGAAAATTCATGTGCCTAAGAAGTGAAAATGAAAAAGTTTCATTAGTTTTTTAATATTTCTTATTAATAAAGTCAGAGGTCAGTGAGACAGATAGATGTACGTATATAAAAGTAATTCCTGAGGTTTTACTGTGGCTCGAAAAAACTGTGAAAGTACCTATACCTTTTTTAATATTTGGAAACGACGTATTTCAAATTGAACATGGCATTTAATCGCCTTATTGCGGTACATTCAAATATAAAATCCATTTTTAATGTAGATATTGTATTCCAATATATTGATATGGATATTTATATTCCATTTTACGTCTACTAATATTTAATAATGCTATTACCGCTTTCAAAAGATAAGTGAATATTCATCGATTTATTCCAATTATTTATTTAATATTTTATTGATAGATTAATTTTGCAGCTAAATGCATATACATTCTTTAACAGTGTTAATGAGTTCTCTGTATTTCGTAGCCATGTTTGTTTCTGCTTCTGATAGCTGCTAATAAGCTGAAATAAAAAATATAATACTTAAAACATGAACAGAAGCTCGTTTTACACATCAGCTGCTACTAAATATGTCTTTGAGTTTGAAAGGTGAAGAACGGTAAAACGTAGAAAAAATGTCTCTATATCTAATATTAATTTCATACATATTTCCTCTACGTACAGACTTAGGAGCTGGTTATCAATTATCATGCATTTTTTAAATTTTCATCCATTTGAGGGCATTAATGGCCTTCAATATATGAGATGATTCAGAAGACTGCAACATGTATTCATAATACTTTGAATATTATTTCTTGTTCTAATCTCTAAATAGGGATTAAACCACTAAGCAATATGATATTCTTGAAAACAAGAAAGATTCACACAATTACTTTCTCGTAGATTGATGCAATATAGCCTCATTTGCAGAAAAAAACAAATTTTAAGTCGCCGTCCATTATAATAGCTAGATTCTTGGAATGATCCATAGGTACTACATATTTTATTACCTTTTTTATTTATGTTTATTTCCTTTTTTAAAGCACTCGTTTTTGTTTTATTTGCGTATATCAACATAATTATCTTTTAAGGGTTCAAACAAAGATTATAACTCTTCAATTTGAGCAAGATTTCGATTGATTGTATTATGTAAGTCATTACTACTAAATTAATAAAAAAATTTGTATCGTCCGCAATAAATTTATATTTCTAAATCTGAGATATATAATAAAAATAACAGGGGTCCTAACACAGATCCCTGTGGTATACTAGAAAAAAAATTTTGTGCGGTAGAGTATTGTTGATTTAGACGAACTTTTTGAAACATAATGTGTCATAATCTAAAAAAAACGGTTGTTGTTCGAATATCAGCAGTTGATCAGAATAAGTAAAGCTATAATGTATACCAGACGAGATATTTACCTCTTATGCAGGTCCAAGTCCATAATCAAAATTCGGATTTTGCGGATTATCTTCGGGAAGAAACCCTATATCGGGCCCGGGTATATATCATCATTATAATATTCCGGCGAGTCCGATACACCATCTTGACACGTTACCACGTACACAATAATCAGCATGTGGAGCAGAAAAAATGGATTGAAGAGCTTCATGCTGTCTTCCGGAATGGCAATGAATGTCTGGCCAGATTGAAAATACAAAGTGTTGATAACTATAGAAACCGATAGGTGGATGATTCAGAATACGTTATCAAACGAGACTAAACAATAACGATATACTGGCGCACAATGAAACGCGAACTGGAATTTAAAGCGATATTTCAATTTTAGATACGACGAGCATTTTAAAGTCTATAATTCTTTGACTTAACCTGATATTTGTTTCTAAGTCATTTGGGACAATCAGCCAGGAGATACTTCAACTTTCTAAAACCCCTCCCACCCTTCAATTGACACCAATATTCTGCGGACAGACCTTTTCTGAACAGCATCGATCATCGAGAATCTAGTCGAGGCAGCAGTACCCCGAACATGTGAACAGCACTCGAAGGAGGTCGTTGATATGTGGAGGAACGAAATCGGATGCCAGACCGATCCCTGCGGAACACCCGCGTTGACTTTGTGGAATGAAGAGGAGAACCTGTCGACTACGACGGATTCCTTTCAAAGCTTCTCTGGGAGGCCACAGGATGGATATTTTCATAACGTGCTTTGGATGAAATTAGATGAGGTTGCTCCACAATTCCGTGACGTATGTTATTGAAAAAATTCAGTGTGAATCAGTATAGCACGCGTCACGTAGGTGAATTGTTGCACGTGTATGCGGCTACATGACTAATTGAATAATTGTAGCAAACGGCAATTTATAATCGCATTTAGCTCTATTTCACTCTTGTCACCTACCGGCAATAATTCAGTTACCTTCTGTTAATCTGTTTATAGGTATCGAATAATTCGATACGTTCGCATATCTATACCATACATCGGATATCCCATAGCAATATGTGGGTAGTTTTGATATTAAATAGATTTGAAGTATGTACCTTTAGTTTTTAAGACTTTTTAGCTTAATCACCACCCCGCACAAGAACATTATCTTTTTGTGATTCTTCTTTTTAAATTTATTCACTAGAATTCTGTAAATATCGTGAATAAATTATTATCATTGGCAGAGTAAGCGGTAAAATAACCTGCAAATTTGTGGCATTTAAGGATTCTAGGCGGTCTCACTATCCGAAACATCACGTGTCTACTCCACTAATCAGATTTATTCATAATAATTGTTTTAACCTGTTTTTACTTTTGGTTTGGATCTGGTTTTAATCACTATCTTCATTAAAATCTTC